AAAAGAAAAGAAGGAAGAAAGAAGAGAGAGAGAGAGAGAGAGAGAGGAAAAGGTTAGAAGCAGAGAATTCACCTGTTATCGTCGCGGCCAGGTTGCTCAGCACTTCCGTTTGTTTTCAGACCCGTTTTCCGAGTCATCTGGCCGGCTTGTTTGACCGATTTAATCCGAGAGATCGGGCCGGTAACTACGTTAGTTTTAACGAGCCACCATAAAGGACGATCCAAATTTATAGAATGGACGGTAATGGCCGTCCACTTTCCAACTGCAATCTGGCCACGGATCAGAATTCACTCGATTCATTTGAATTTCCGCGCGGTGCCCCGAATAGAATCCACCAGGAATTTCGAATGGAATATTGATAACTCGAGTCGACGAAACACCGGCTATATCGTTCCTCTATCCTATTTTATCTTTATTTCCTCGTTATATCCTCTCTCTTTTTCTTCTTTTTTTTTTTTTATCTGGCAACAACAATTCCTTAATTCATTTACGAGATAGATGAAAAAAGAGGGATCTCGATAAAATGTTGTTGCATTGCAAAGCGTGCACACAAATATATTTTCACTTGTATCAAGCAGTAGGCTAGTAAATATATATATTCGATACTAACAAGAATTTTACAAAGTGTTTGAAACAGACAATGTACAATGTCTGATAAGGACATTATATCCTAAATCGAATCAATTTTTCGTTTCGAGATCTATTTCGTCTTACCGATCGATTATTCCCGATAAATAATACGAGTAGGTTTCCACTTGAAAATTCGGGTGGAAAAAATAAACGCATCTCGTTTGATTCGTAAATTTCGTCTCGCTCCCTTTTTTATCAACCCTTTAAAATCTTATCGTGCGGTATATTGCAGCCATCTCCTTCGAGAGAATTAACACTCTGATCCTTTAAAAATAACAATTCCTTCAAGGGGATTTAAGGAAGATATCCGTGATTATTTTGAAATATCGACCAAATTTATCGATATTGACACTATTAAGAATCCGATATAATACACATCGGTATAAAGTAAAAGGTGCGATTAATCATTTTCAAAAAAAGAAAAAGAAACGAGAAAACGAGATCGGGGAAAAGTCGAGGAAGACTTCCCCCCCCCCCCCCAACAAAGTCACGAGCAGCGCCACGTATGATGGTTTCCATCAATTAGACGAGTGTAGTATCGTGGCAGCAAGTCGGCATCGTCTGACCAAGCACGGTTGTTACCACTGAGGCGAGCCTCTCCGTTCACCGATAAAAGAATAACTGCACAAAGCGCAGAGGATCGCGTTTTAAACTAGCGATTCAATCGGCCGAGTATCGTCGCCACGACACGTCTCCACTCGTTATGCATTTCCTTCTGCGACCCTCGATGTCGGGTCACGCCGATGGCGAACGAGCTGCTCGACGAGTTTATATTTTCCTCGGCCACCAACGGGCTCGTTACCAACGAGCCGTCGATCGTTTTTTACGATTTCGGGGGAGGGGAGAAGGAAGGAAGGAAAGAAAAACGATTAACGATTCGGTTGGAGCGACCGAGTATTGCCAAATAGGGTGCACGGACGACCCGTGAATCGTGAGTTGCGCGACGATAAAAATGGACGTTTCGACGTTGTGAAAATATCGATGGAGGTTTGACGTTTCGTTTTACTTTCGTTCGATCGCGATAGAAATTAGAGAAAAGTGTTTGCTTTCCTTTTTTTTTTTTTTTTTTTTTCCGGAAGGAGAAGCTTTTATTCGTAGTGTTGATAATGCTTGAATTTTCTTCCTTTTTTTTTTTTTTTTTTAATGGTAAAAGTACGCATGCGATAAAAATTTACGAGCGAAACCGAATTCCTTCGTGTTTTTCTTCCGTCACACATTAGGATTATAATTACGAAAATGTGGAAAGTTTAAAAATGGCCGTCCCTCGAGCAGCAGCACAACTGTGGAACTTGGTAATTATGAGAATTATTACGGATACAAGCCCCCCCCCCCAAAAAACTTTTTCCCAATTACGTTCCTAATTACGATAGAGAATTTCGAGCGAACGAAATTGCTGGCAAAATTTCTATAATTATTTTAAAGCGTTAAAATATATATATACGTCGAGGAATTTAATTTCGAGAGAATTATTCCCTCGTTACTTCACGCTCACCATTGAATCGCAAAATTATTCTTCTCATAAGTTATGCAAATCATTCCCATCTACTTCTTTGTCCAAACCGAAGTTAGTGTCAACATTTCAACCGTTGAAGCGTCTTATTATTCAAACAACGGTTATGAATAATGGTTCGTGAAAATTGTTCCACCGAGTTGATTTACCAGCAAATCGTCACCGAAAATTCGATCCATATAATAAAATCCGTTCTTTTATTTATTCAACCCCCCCCCCCGTTCAATAGCGAATCGAGCGAATGAAGAAATAATATAATAAGAAAAAATACGGACGGATACAATGTTTGGAGCAAAGGTTGGATTCGAGACTCGATCATTCTCACAATTAATTCTGTACACGTTGCAGGCATCATCATTCGCGAGAATGGCAAGATAAAAATCTCAAAACCGATTTCGCATTCCTAAAAATTCTAAATCTAAATCTCTGTCAACGTGCGAAGGAACCGAATCTCAACGTGTACAACTTTACACGGAAGAACGTGCCTGTCCCTCAAAATTCCCACAAAAATTCACCTCGATCAAAACGAAACGAAAAATCGAGAAATCATTCAAATGGATAATAAGCGATCGCAAACTCGGATTATTATTCTTCTTCTTCCAACGCTCGAAACGAAGCGTAATCCTTCAAACGCCGCCAAACATTTTTCGATCGAAAACTCTTCCTCTCGCTCAAAAAAAAAAAAAAAAGAAAAAGAAAAAAAAAAAGAAAAAAACGTTCAAATCTGCCAAGCCTGTAACGGTCGACGAACGCTCCGACGCCTGGCACGCAATTTACGCGTACCCATCGGCGGATGGCGTGGCACTGTTATCAAGCCAAGGGCTCCTCGCCACGAACCCCCAGCCGACGCCTAAGTTGGCGAGCGCATGCGCGTGCCACGGTCCCGGAACGATGAAAAACACTAGCGGGTTCGTGTCTGTGAACGGGCGCAAGCCGTTGGACGCTGTTGGTGTATGGCGGCGCACTGCCACCTCTACGTCGACGCCGGCAGCACGGTCGGTAACCAGATTGGGCTCCTCTTCTCTTCGACAATCAAAAACAGGGGCTGGGACGAGGCGTTGTTTATAGCGGGCGGAAAGGTCGAGCTCCTAGCTTCCCGCTCGGCTTCTAGGCTTAGTTTAGAATGTTCAGTGGTGTGACCTCGGCCGTACAGACGACTCGTCCAGTTGATTTTTGGGTTCGTGTCCGAGGATTATCGATCGGATACCCGCCGATTCAGTAAGCATAACAAATCACGTATTATATTGTCCCTATATATAATCTGCTTCTGTTGAAGATATATTTCTTCTTCTTCTTCTTCTTCTTCTTCTTCTTCTTCTTCTTCTTCTTCCTTTTTTTTTTCGATCGAAGAAGGAGGTGGAAGGAGAGAATGTTTTCGTTTGGTCGTTTTGTTGGTTATTCGTCGGGAGGATGTTGGCGTGAATGCTCGACGCCGACGCAGATACTCGTTAGAAAAACGAGACACTGGTGTGTATACGTGTGTATTCTTTTTTTGTTTGGTATAGGATGTCGTAGGTGTTTGTTTCGTCTGTGTGCCACGTGTGAGCGAAATAAAAAGATATTAAACCAAAATTCTGAGAGGGCGCGAGATAGATATAATTTGGCCGATAATATTTAAAAACTTTTGATACGAAATTTTTAACTACTACCATTTCCTTTCCCTCTCTTCGATCTTTTGAAATGATGTTTCATGATCGTTTCGTTCGACTCGATGAAATGTTGGAAATACGCGAAAACGCATAATAAACCGCGAATGAACCAAATTTCATTTAACGGCGATGAAAGTTATTAAATCGAAGAATACACAATTGTTCCAAGAATTTGATAGAAGTGATAACGAATTGTTATATTCGTTGTTATACGTCACCAAATATACATATATATATATATCTCGATATACGTTACTGTCACGCGCGTATCAACCGCGCGTATTTCCATACTAAAATAATTTGTATTTATACACGAGACTGACGGGCTCGTGTCCCATTAAACGAACAAATACCTTTTTACTTCGCTTACTCGTTAACGCTTTCGACGTTCGTTTTATCCGTGCATCGTGTTGAATAATTTCAGATAAATCTTCATTAGAAAAAAGCGAACCGTTTTAAAAGTTTCACCGATTCGGTTTGATCGCATCTCCGCGTGAATTTCGTCGAGAACGAAAGGAGAGGAGAGAGAGAGAGATAATCTTCTTAAATTTCAACCAAAAACAAAAACGATGTTTTTGGTAGAGAGACACGCGTCATATATTCATCGAATATACATTCACGTCCCAAAGTGAAAAATCGTATCGAATCGAGATCCCATCACGGTGGCTCGTTCCACGATTAAACACGGTTAACCAAGGAATCCTCGCAGGGAAGGGGGGGAGGGGGGAGGGGGGGGAGGGGGCACTGGCAATTCGAAGCCCGCCTCTTTATCACTTTTCGATCGCCGTTCGAATCTGTTCCGAGGAGGAGTTACTTTCATCCTCCCTCGTAAAAGGATCTCTCTCTCTCTCTCTCTCTCTCTCTTG